TCACACACACACACACACACACACACACTCTCTCACTCACACACACACACACACACACACACTCACTCACACACTCGCACTCACTCACACACACACACACACACACACACACTCTCTCTCACTCACTCACTCACACACACACACACACACTCGCACACACTCGCACACACACACACTCGCACACACACACACACTCACACACACACACACACACACACACACACACAGGTGTAATGGTTTTTCTACTGTACAAATCGTATTTTCTATTCTACCATTAAATATGAAGTGTCTATATGTTATTTGATCAATTTTTGGGGCTTGTTTTGTTTGTTTTTTATAAAGAAATTGCTTAATCAGGCCAATAAGAGACTATTAACTACTGTTCACCGTTTGTTTGATTACATGCAATTTGTAACTAACTGCATGATTTTTACTGTACATTTCTCACCACTAATAACCTACTCCTAAATATAATGTAGAAACTTTTAGACGTTACAAAGCCTCGTTTTCTGAATTCACGTGACTTTGTCAGTTTGATACACGCTCTGAATCACTGGTTCATAACAACTGATTCACAAAGGTTTTGAAGCTTCATGAAGCAGTGTTTTGAAAGCGCACATCACTAAAGCCTGAGCGCTTCGGTGGCTCCGGGTGGATCTGAGGACAGATGAGCTGAGTCTGCAGGACTGAAGCGGTGTCCTCACACAGCACAATTAATGAATAAAGCAAGCAACTCTTATATAACAAGCGGAACAGTCTTACTCTGCAAGCTGAAGGGTTTGAGAGGGAATAAACAACACACATTTGTGATTGCAGCGCGTTTATCATCGGCCCAGGAGAAGCTGCCCAGATCGATGGAAACAGTTTGCTTCGTAACGCCAGTGAAACAGACACGTCAAAGCAGCTTTACAGTATTAAACAGGAAAATAGTGTCAATGCAGAAGGACAATAGTAGACACTCAGCACTGACCTGCAGTGGACGATGACGGGGCCGGCGTCTGGCGGGTTACACGCTTTGACCCTGCGGAGGAAGGCCAGGAATGGAGTGGGATATTCGGGAACGCCGTGGTCAGGCCAAGCGGTGAACTGGAACTGGCGCACCTCTCTCCTCTCATTACAGCCGCTCTGATGGGGAAAAACATCAGGATCACAGCTTATGATGGAGACCTTCAGTATGTGGTACAATCCAGAGCAGCGTTTCCCAAACTGGGGTTTGTGAGGTCAAGTGTAAAATAAAACATTAAACATAAAACACTTAGTAAAATAGAATAAATCATTTATTTGTTAATCTGCATTAGAAGGACCCTCTCAGACAGCATGTGATAACAGTCACTGTTTTGTTTCAGTGCACCAAGTGTCCCCCAGATATAACGTCACATTTGTTTGGTTTTTTGGCATAATGTTCATTGAAAAAGATATAAATTATTAATAACTTTTGGATGTGAACTGACAGCAGTCATTACCAGTGTTGAGGGTAATGCATTACAAAGTGATTTATGTAATCAGATTACTTTTTACAAGTAACTAGTAAAGTATCACATTACTTTTAAATTTACAACAAAATATTTGAGTTACTTTTTCAAATAAGTAAAGCAAGTTGCTTTGTTTCCCATGTGTTGAGTGACGGCTCTCGTGTCTGGTGTTGAGAGAACTCAGGAGCGAGACTCTTCCTTCAGACTGACGATTATTCATCTCACTTGTGGTGTCTTTACAGTTGCCAAAAATGTAACTTTAAAAAAAAAAAATTGTAATTAAAAAACAAATAAGCAAGCCCAGCTCAGGTGACAAAACGTAACGCAAAAGTAACGAATAGGCATTACTTTTCATTAAAAGTGACTAAAGGTTCTTGCACACTGAGTCCGGGTTTCTTCCGGGTTTTTCATATTCGTCATCCTTTCCGATCAAAATGCTTGCTACGGATGCGAAGACGCAGAAAATCGAACCTGGTCCGATTTTTTTTAATGACGGATGAAAGTTTCGGAGGCAGTGTGTAAACGTGATTGACACAACATGAGGTCGTATTTATTCTTTAACGTGTGAAAATTTCGGACTCGGTGTGCAAAGACCTTAAGTAATGCAGTTAGTTACTTTTTATGGAGTAACACAATATTGTAATGCATTATGTTTAAAAGTAACTTTCCCCAACACTGGTCATTACGATCTATAGAGGAACTAGAGGAATGAGAATGATCTGTGTGTTCATCAAATGCATGTGGCATTTTAAACTGATGGTGGCGCTAGAGGGATTGAGATAAAGAGGCAGAATTAAGGATGAGAGAAGTTTAAACTTTCCTTGATCAGTGAGTTAAATTTTAGATTCTTCTGCCGTACGGTTCTACTGGATCTCTGGATGCTGATTAGAGCGAGAGCAGAAATGTAAACACGTCTCACCTTGTGCAGAGAGAAGGTTCTCACACAGAATGTGGCCAGCTCCATGGTATCCAGCAGAGCGACCTGAACCCCCCCGAACGTGTCTGTGCCGCGACTGGGCCAGTACTGATCACACTTGATCTAAACAAGAGGAGCACAGGACATGGAGATCAGATCAGATGAGTGCTTCAGTGTTCTTGGGTCTGTGTGTTAGGGTCAGGCGTGTTCTGTCTGGTCAGTCTCTCACCCGTGATTTCTCCTCTAGTTTGGTCATCATGACCACTGAAGCAGCTCTCTGCTCCCACACCATCCTCCAGAAATCCCCGAAGGTCTCCGGCAGCGGCCCCTGGGTGGCGATATATGCGTTCTGCTTCCTGAAACCGTCGATGTAGTTGGCGTTGATGTAGTCACTACCCATAATGCCTAGCGGAGAGACAGTGTTGGGAAGGTTACTTTAGAAATGTAATAAGTTACAGATTACAAATTACCCTATTTAAAAAGTATTAAGTAGTGTAAATATTTCAATTACTTCATTAATGTAACTGATTACTTTTTGATTACTTTTCTAAAATTCTAATGATGTTGATGATTGTGAAACATGTAAAGCAGGCCGGGTTAACCTTACAGTAACTCTCAACACTGATTACTGCCAGACTTTCAGATTCCTTCATCTCTTGAATTAAGATTATAATAATTTGATTTTAAAGCACAGGCAGCACAGAATCAGACTTCAGCACCTCTTTTTACTTTGAGATCATTCTGAGCTTAAATACAGATTTGAAATCATAACAAGAAATAGTTTAAAAGCTATGATACGGTTTTGTTTTTTTCAAATCTTTGCATAGTTATGACAGGAAGCACTGGCATCTAACAATGCCTGGGAAAAAACTGTTAATCCTAAAACAAAGCATAAACATAAACCCAAATAGGAAATAAAACCGTTATGGAAAAAGCATGTGTGTTAAACTCCTGAAACATTGGTGTCTCGTATATTAAAGCAGTCAATTTGGGAAAGAAATCAATTAAATCTGTATGTGTGTGAAAATATTCAGATGTAACCCCCTTTGTATTCATTAACATTTTCATAAGTAACTGTAATTTAATTACACAATTTTTCTCATTAATGAAATTACATTTATTTTGTAATGAAATTCCGTTATTTGTAACTAGCTACTCCCCAACACTGCGGAGAGAACCGGAAAACATCCCAGCCGTGCTGAAAGAGTGAATGTGTATCTGCTAAGAGTTGACTGAGTGCTTCAGACACAAGCACAGTCTGTGACCGACTCCAGATCTGAGCCTCAGCGGTCGTACCGTCTGTCGGAGCGAGGATCACACGCGTGTGGTCGTATGCAATCACGTTAGCGTAGCGGTTCTTCGGCTTGTTCACCTCCAGGTTTGAGTGTTCCCATGTGAACTGCTGCCCGGGATCAATCGACTGAGAGAGAGGGAGAGCGATACATAAAGAGATTCAAAAATTAACAATCTATCTGTCTATCCATCCATCCATCCATCCTCTATCTATCTGTCATCTGTCTGTCTGTCTATCTATCTATCGTTCAATCAATCTATCTATCTATCTGTCTGTCTGTCTGTTGTTCTATCTATCTATCTATCTATCTGTCTGTTGTTCTATCTATCTGTCTATCTATCTATCTATCGTTCAATCTATCTATCTATCTATCTGTCTGTCTGTCTGTCTATCTATCTATCTATCTATCGTTCAATCAATCTATCTATCTATCATCTGTCTGTTGTTCAATCTATCTATCTATCGATCTGTCTGTCTGTCTGTCTGTCTCTTGTTCTATCTATCTATCTATCGTTCAATCTATCTATCTATCTATCTATCTATCTGTCTGTCTATCTGTCTCTTGTTCTATCTATCTATCTATCGTTCAATCTATCTATCTATCTGTCTGTCTATCT